AAACAAAAAAACCCAACTGGGAACTGACTGTAGCTCAGATCATGAACTCCTTATTGTCAAATTCAGACTTAAATTGAAGAAAGTAGGGCAAACCACTAGACCATTTAGGTATGACCTAAATCAAATCCCTAACGATTATACAGTAGAAGTGAGAAATAGATTCAAGGGATTAATTCTGATAGACAGAGTGCCTGAAGAATTATAGATGGAGGTTCATGACATTGTACAGGATGCAGGGATCAAGTCCATCCCCAAGAAAAAGAAATGCAAAAAGGTAAAATGGTTGTCTGAGGAGGCCTCACAAATAGCTGTAAAAAGAAGGGAAGTGAAAGGAAAATGAGAAAAAAAGTAAAGATATACCCATCTGAATGCAGAATTCCAAAGAATAGCAAGGAGAGAGAAGAAAGCGTTCGTCAGTGATCAGTGCAAAGAAACAGAGGAAAACAATAGCATGGGAAAGACTAGAGATCTCTTCAAGAAAATTAGAGATACCAAGGGAATATTTCATGCAAAGATGGGAAAAATAAAGAATAGAATGGTATGGACCTAACAGAATTAGAAGATATTAAGAAGAGGTGGCAAGATAAATAGAACTATACAAAAAAGATTTTTATGACCCTGATCATCATGATGTGTGATCACTCACCTAAAGCCAGACATCCTGGAATGCAAAGTCAAGTGGGCCTTAGGAAGCATCACTATGAACAAAGCTAGTGGAGGTGATGGAATTCCAGTTGAGCTATTTCAAACCCTATAGGATGATGCTGAGAAAGTGCTGCACTCAATATGCCAGCAAATTTGGAAAACTGAGCAGTGGCCACAGGACTGGAGAAGGTCATTTTGCATTCCAATCCCAAAGAAAGACAATACCAAAGAATGCTCAAACTACCACACAATTGCACTTATCTCACATGCTAGCAAAGTAATGCTCAAAATTCTCCAAGCCAGGCTTCAACAGTATGTGAACCATGAACTTCCAGATGTTCAAGATGGTTTTAGAAAAGGCAGAGGAACTAGAAATCAAATTGCCAACATCTCTTGGATCATCTAAAAAGCAAGGGGGTTCCAGAAAAATATATACTTCTGCTTTATTGACTATGCCAAAGCCTTTGACTGTGTGGATCACAACAAACTGTGGAAAATTCTTCAAGAGATGGGAATAATAGACCACCTGACCTGCCTCCTGAATAAAATGTATGCAGGTCAGGAAGCAAGAGTCAGAACTGGACATGAAACAATGGACTGGTTCCAAATCGGGAAAGGAGTACCTCAAGGTATTGTCACCCTGCTTATTTAACTTATATGCAGAGTGCATCATGAGAAATGCTGGGCTGGATGAAGCAAAAACTGGAATCAAGATTGCTGGGAGAAATATCAATAACTTCAGATATGCAGATGACACCACCCTTATGGTAGAAAGCAAGGAGTGCCCAAAGAGCCTCTTGATGAACCTGAAAGAGGAGAGTGAAGAAGTTGGCTTAAAACTCAACAGTCAGGATACTTAAGATCATGGCATCTGGTCCCATCACTCCATGACAAATAGATGAAGCAATGATGGAAACAATGACATACTTTATTTTTTTGAGTTTCAAAATCACTGGAGATGGTGACTGCAGCCATGAAATTAAAAGACCCTTGCTGCTTTGAAGAAAAGCTACCACCAACCCAGACAGCATATTAAAAAGTAGAGGCAGTACTTTGCCCACAAAGGTCCATCTAGTCAAAGCTATGGTTTTTCCATTGGTCATGTATGGATGTGAGAGCTGGACTGTAAAGAAAGTTGAGCACCAAAGAATTGATGCTTTTGAACTGTGGTGTTGGAGAAGACTCTTGAGAGTCCCTTGGACTGCAAGGAGATCCAACCAGTCCCTTCTAAAGGAAATCCATCCTGAATATTCATTGCAAGGACTGATGCTGAAGCTGAAACTCCAATAATTTGTCCACCTGATGTGAAGAACTGACTCATTTGAAAAGACCCTGATGGTGGGAAAGATTGATGGCTGGAGGAGAAGGGAACAGCAGAGGATGAGATGGTTGGATGGTGTCACCGATTCAATGGACATGAGTTTGGGTAAACTCCGGTAGTTGGTGATGCACAGGGATCCCTGGCATGCTGCAGTCCATGGGGTTGCAAAGAGTCAGCCACGACTGAGAGACTGAACCGAACTGAATGTTCTGAAATTCAGGGAGATGAGGGACTACATTAGGCGGGGTCGGGGCAGGGGGAAGGTACATCAAAAGTGTGGAGAGAACAATAAATGTGGTATTTGTCGTATCCTTGGGAACAGCAGGTAGACAGAAATTTTGTAAAGATCATAAGATCAGACTGAATGGCAACTGTAGTGATTCTAGAATACCAGCTTCAGAATCATTGATGTTAAGGACTTGCCTTTTCTTCATTTTCAACTTCAGGTACCATTGAGCCTTTTAACTATGATCTCATTTTAAGCCTTTTGAGTAAAAGTGATATAGGCTGCTCCACCACTTTTTTTAAAGTTCTTTATTTCTTAATGCAATTTTTTTTTTTTTTTTACTTTTGCAATGTATTTTGTTTTATTAGTTGGAGGCTAATTACAATATTGTAGTGGGTTTTGTCATACATTGACATGAATCAGCCATGGATTTACATGTATTCCCCATCCCGATCCCCCCTCCCACCTCCCTCTCCACCCGATCCCTCTGGGTCTTCCCAGTGCACCAGGCCCGAGCACTTGTCTCATGCA